ACTCCTTTTTCACCTTCTGAAGTCAGTTTCACGAATTCTAAAACTGAATGATAACTTTAGTTCAGGCTTTCAAAGAACTTTTTTTTTTTCTTTAAAATTTTCCTCTCAAATTAAATATATTTTTAAAAAATTTATTTTTATAAATAATTTAATCATATAATTTAATATATTATATACTATATAATATATTTTTATTTATAAGTTATCTTTCTGTTTTCAAACTTATTTCTTTTCTTTTTAGCCCAGCATATTCCTTTTTCACCTTCTGAAGTCAGTTTCACGAATTCTAAAACTGAATGATAACTTTAGTTCAGGCTTTCAAAGAACTTTTTTTTTTCTTTGAACTTTTTGGTAAAAAACAGTTTGCGTGGCTCTCCCAGTGCACATACACCGATTCTAGTCGAGAGAGGTTATATTCCGTAAAAGTACTCATTATTATTATTTTTTTTTTTGTTGCCAATTGCCATTGACGACGGACTTGACTTGAAGTCAATGCAGGAGAGTGGTGTCGTCGAAACTTCACCAAATTGGAAGCAAGGGACGAAGATGATTTTAGTCATGACAGGGGTAAAATGGTCATTGCGAAAGAAAATTTTAACTTCTTCTGTGTAGCTTTATCGTTTTCCTGTATCAGCAACAACTGGGCCCCGCACTGGGCCTCACTGCGTCATTGCCTTTGCCAATAATTCAACACATCCCACAAACCTGATTATCTTGTCTCATAGCTTTTGCCCTTCTATAATTTTATAATAATATATTAAATTCTGCATGAAAATAAACTAATTTTATATTTTAGTCAAATTTGGCTTTTTTTTTTTCTTAAACAGTATGAAATTTTTTTTCTTGAAAAAAAAAAGAATGAAAACTTAAAATTTGATCTCAAATTTTTGTAGTTCTACGCACGTCCCTCGTAAAGGGTGGCCATTTGGCCACCGAGTGCGGGACGTCAAATTTGGCTTCATTAAAAGAAAATGCATATGCGCAATTGATTAAGATCACGGCTTTTCTCCTTTCTTTTCATTTCCCCTCAAATCAACTCTACTTTTGGGAGAATTAACTTTTTATTTAATAATTTAGTTGTATAATTTAATTTATTTTAAATTATACAACACTTCATTTTTGTTACCATTGACGAGGGAATTGGAAGTCAATGCAAGAGGCGCCAGTCGAAAATTCATGAAATTGGAAGCAACGCAAGGGACGTAATCACGTAGATGATTTTGGCCATGACAGGGGCAAAATAGTCCTTGCAACAAAACATTTTTTAACTTTCATGTGGCTTTAATATTTTCTTGTATGGGTGATAGCATAGGATAATTTTTCATTTCACTCTTTTATATAATTTTTTTGTATATTATTAAAGAAATAAATATATTTAATATTAAAAATTTTAAATA